AAGGATTTCTTTTATTTACGGTCGCGAAAGGAGCTCCTGCGTCGAGCGGGCTAAGTGGTATGATCTCCTCTCCTCGGGCTCTACTCCCGCGATAGATCTTGGCCAATGACCGACTAAGCGTCCACTCTCCGAGGCTTAATACCCCGTCCGATCGTGTAACATTCGGCTGTAGATCAATTAAGACGTCGTCGTCGCCGCAGTCCGGAATCACGCTGTTGTACCTCGACCGCGATTTCTCCACGGCCTTCTGAGGCCGCGGCCGGAGGCTTACGTCGAATTAAGACGGTCGCCTCGCTATCGGATCTATTGTTATGCGATCTTTGACGAGCGGCTTTACCGATACGAGCAAGCGAGCGAGCTCGCGATGAAAGAAACCCCGTTTCCTTCAGCAGTTTCTTTCCCGGGGAGGAAGTCGCGCGAGCGTCCGGGGTGCTCCTCGAGGACGCGCCGAGCCCGAATTTCGAGCGCGAGCGTAAAGTTGACGGAGACAATGCCACCACGTGAACTTGTTCCAACTTGTTAGTCGTTAATACGTTAATTGCGAATTGCTCTGGTTTATTTCCCGCAGCCGCAGGCATCCCCCTGTTAGAGCAATGATCGATAATTGACAGCCGGTTGACACACGCAATGTACGCCGATCTGTTTCATTTCCCGCAAAGGAAGACAAACGTTCGCGTCTCGTGTTATTCTTTCCTCACACGCGTGGTCGCGTCGCCCCGGTGGGCGGGAGGGTGGCGCCGATAAATTAACGGGATTAATTATCTCCGGCCATCGGATTACTCGCAGCGGAGAATACGGCCTGCCCCTTGGTGATTTTCCCTCCACGGCTCATTACTTTCAATCGTTGGCCTTCAGCCGCTCGTCCTCCTCGCTACTCGTAATTTTTAGTATAGCCGCGAATGGGGGAGGGTGGGGATTAAAGAATAAGAAGGGGAAACTGGAGTTCGTTTATATGATCTCATCAGCTACCCTCGTGCGGGAAGAGAGAGAGAGAGAGAGAGAGAGAGAGAGAGGGGAAGAAACGGAGGAAGAGAGAAGTAAAAGAGAGGAAAAGAGAGGGAGAAAGAGCGGGGGAGGGGCGGGGAAGGAGAGCAGGACAAGAAGATGGAAGCCGCGTCGCCAAACGTAGCATCCCTCAAGGATTATGAGGCCAATCCTGCGGCTAATTTGCGAGCTCTCGAATTCTCAAACCCCTGCGCTATCTCGTGACTTCATCCGTACCGTTCTCCGGCTTCCCTCTCAACTATTTGATCGTTGTTCCTTTCTCCTGATTTTCGGGGAAGAGGGATCTTTTTTCCTCGTCACGTGCACCCCGGATGCCTCGGGCAAATGTTTTTTTTTTTCTTTCTCCGACGGCGTTCCTCGCAGCATAAATTGCATCGACACATCATCGATTCATACTCGTCATTCATACTTGTCCGCGCCATGCGTGCTGCAAAAATTACGAAGGAAGTTCCGCCGCGGGACAACAAACCTGACTTCGCGATCGCGAAGCAATCAGCAACGGCAGGGACGTTCTTGCGCAGTCAACTCTCGCTACGTCGCTCGTTGCGATCCGATTCAGCGGCAGTGAGGGCATTTTCGGTTCTTATCAATAGCATCCAACAATCTCACCATCCTGGCCAACATTATCTACGGCGAAACGTCCGGCAGCCGCATGGAAACAGAATAGTTAGGCATATCCTAGCTGTGGCTGATAGGAGAACCGCGCAGCTCCCACTCGCTCTCTGTGTCCTCTCCCTCTCACTCTCTATCTTTCTCCTCTTCCTATAATTCTCTCTCTCTCTCTCCCTCTCTCTCTCTCTCTCTCTCTCTCTCTCTCTCTCTCTTCCGCAAGCTCTCCATTATTATTCAGGAACTTTGCTGACAGCTCTCCGGATAGGCAGATAAGAACGTCCTCTGAATGCCAAAGCACACACAATGCTCCTTTAAAGCAACGTGTACCCACGTCTCGCGGCTACTTTTCACGCACACGATCGCGCGCGCGGGAACGCAGGAGCCAATGTCTAGCGCGCGTCGCAGCGCGGTCGCGTCCGGTGATCCTGGATCCTCCTCGAACGCTGGCAATTTGTCGATCATCGGCAAGCAGCTCACCGTTGTCGAATTTACTGGCGCGAATTACCGAGCTGCGTCGACCATTAGCCGTTCCTATCGATGAGCGGCTCCACCAGTTTGGCGGAATGAAATATTTGTCTCGTTGCTTCTCGAATGAAGTGGTCGCGCCGCGCCGGCGAGATAAGCGCGGCTCGATCGGAAAATTCGATCGGCGATCGAAGCGCGCGTCGTCACGTCTGCTTCCTTCGTCGAGCTACGTGATTTTGTGTGCGCGCAGCGCGTCTTCCAGCGTCTTGTGCTGGAGATTCGGTTATCGCAAGTGCCGATGACTAGAGCGGGAAGCCGATCTTAATCAAACCGGCCGTTTCTCACAGCGATTTAGTGGATGGCGCGGTTTAAATTGTCTGCGCGCGCTCTGACAAATTAAGATCAGATAGAGGGATGATCCTCCGGGCTGCTGACTTTCAGATTTTCATAAGACGTTGCCGCCGCCCTTCTCAGCTGCTATCTCACTGTTCCCTTCTTGATTCTTCGCGCTCTTCGGCGCAGCGGCAATTTTCTTATCCGATCGAGCAACCTTGCTCTCTCCTCACGTCCTTCGAATTGGAGGGCTCTCACGGAGAAACGGCATTCCAAAGAATGACAATACTGGAAAATCGATATAGAGACTCGTTTTTCCTAATTCACCCGCCCGGCTCGCAAATTCGGGAAATTATTCGAAGAAATGTTTAAAATGGTTTAAAACGTTGGAAGAAAATATCTCGCTGAATGTGCATCGCACATATATAGGGTGATCCGTTTTAAACGCCTGCCATTTCCAAGAGAAATGTATTGTTCGAAAAAATATTTCCAACAAAAAGTTTGAAGATGAGTCATCTTACATAAAACAAAGTTGACGTTTCAAATCTTTTTTTTAAATAAACTCCTCAAGTCTCGCAATTGGAAGCATGCATGCGTGAAGATTTATATTTACGAATTTAAATGATCGAGTAGCAATGAATCTCACTCGGCACATTTCCAGAGTGCAACTTAGATTTTTCCTCAGGACTTATTAAATCATTCTGCGTAACGCATCGAGAATGACGCGTTTTGTATTTTGATATTGTTGAACAGCGTATTCGTTGCTGTCAGACGAATCGTCAGAGAATCGTCGCTCACAGGTTTTGCGTTTTCTTCGTCGACGCGATGGAGTTTTGGAACGACATCCGCGAATTCCGGCAATTCGCGAAACAAGTTTCATAAATCCCCGTCTGCTTCGCCGTCGCTCTCCAAGTCTCGGCTCAGTTTGGAAGGCGGAGCCCGATAACGATAACGAGAGGGATAACGGTAGGCAGGTACCTGTAGAGCAGCGCGGGGATAAGAAGCGGCTGTTGCGGCAAAGTCTAGATTCGATGTTTTGTGAATGAGCGCCGACCCAGATGGATCCTTGTAAGACGTTTTAATTGGACAAATCCGCCTATCCTCATTAAATCCGGGACGGCCTCGGCGGGCCCGCCAGGACGACACACAGGTCCTGTGTGCGCGTCGTGGATGACAGCGATATCCCCTCGGTATCATCTTTGCACATCTCGCTACGTACTTAAACGCGAAAGTCTTCCATTTCGCGACGCAGCCGAGCTCGTCGCTCTCGAAAATCCGTGCCGCCATGAGGATCCGATCTTACCTTAATCGGTTTGCTCTTCTTGCGCACCACCCACCAGGTGAACGTTCACGTCCTACGCGGCGATGGCGCTCGTTGAGATGTTCGATCAACGAGACGAGGATCCGGTGACGAAGTGCGCGTGTCTTCTTTTTATAACACGTACAAAAAGATTGCGAACGTGTGCAGTAAAAAGAGGGGGAGGGCGGGTTGGGTACTTCCGGGGACACGCTTAATAAATCTCGAGTTAAGTGCGGAGTTACATGAAAGCTTTATCATATAAACGCAGCTTCTCTTTTTGTAACTACTGGACTACTTACTTCTTTAACTATCCCGTTTTCTGGACAACCCTTTTTTAAAACTCGGTTCAGTTCGCTCACGATTTTAAAGTTCTGGACGGTCAACGCATCGCAAATGACAATTTTTTTGCGCCCAATTTTTGGATTTGACTTTAACAATCAACGCTGAGTAAAATCTAATTTCAGATCGAGACTTGTGCGCCACATTTATATCAGCGTCCCTTTCACCACGAATTCGACAGACGCGAATCGGAAATTATTATAAATTGCTTGTCGCGTTGACTCTCATCAGCTCGGTTTTTTTAACGATTGTACGTCAGACTGATTTTTCCGTCAGGAGTAATGGGGCCTTTTTTTTTGAATTTACATAATAACGAACGCACTTTTTGCTTCGTTTTCGTTGGATTTCGTCGCACACGGCGGTCTTACTGTTCCGAAACTCCTGCGAGTGATACGAACGCCCGAGCGGCGTCGAGTAGACAGATAGTGCGCCGCGCTTTTAGAGACAGACTCATTGACTATTGTGACGTTTGAGTTAGGGTTGACTCGATGACAACGTCGCTGTCTTATCTTAGCTGCGAGATTTTGGTCGGGGCGGTTGCTTTGTGCGCCGCTACACTTGGAGACAGTATCGTTGCGCGCGCGCCTGTGTGCACGCACCGACATCCGTTTATGCACAGCTCCTGCGAAACTCGCGAGACACACCGTATACCCCCCCCTACACTCCCCTCCCCCGACCCCGACAATCTATCTCGCACTCACCCTTCGCGAGACGAACGGGCAAACGAGAGCGAGCGCAGTATCGCGTCGCCCTCTTAAGACTCTTACCTCTTCCGCTCTTTTTCTCTCTCTCTCTCTCTCCCTCTCTCTCTCTCTCTCTCGCTTTCAGCTTCGGCCAACAACTGTCACGGACGCATCTACGATGCGAAGAGACTTGTGAGAGAAAAAAAAAATTCGTCTGGCGTCTCCCCGAGGAAGGACATGGCACTTGACACACGACTCTGCTGTGACGTGTGTATAGCTTTTATTCGACATCATCTCGTATTTACACTCATGAAAGTCCATAATAATTATATTAATTATTACGTGATAATTACAATGAATGTGCGGCCCGTTAAAACGTTAAAGCCGCGTATCAACGTAAGGAGTAACAGATTGGTTAACGATTTTCCCTTTATTTCGTCCGACGCGCGCTTGTCCGCTCGCCGCGCTTCGCTCTTCTCGTCTCTAGCGGACGTTACTTAACGAAATCAACTAGTCCGCGTGATATGGATGCTGCTGCGGTGACTCGCCCTCAAACAAAGCCATCTTCAGCCGTTTGTTCTTGGCCCTGCGGTTCTTGAACCAGAATTGCACGTTCTTCGGCTCCAGACGCGGGAACTTCTGACGATAGGGCATCTTGTTCAGCTCCTCCGTGTACGACAGAATGAGCTACGGACCGATCGTAAAATATCTTTCAGACCAACGGACCTTCCCCGTTGTGGGCGCAGATGGGGCATCATACGGTCGGACCTGTCGTCCGACGTCGCGACGAGACGAGACGGTGGCGGGATTTCACGAATTGGGTTCGCGCGTGCGGGGAAACCGCGTCTAGAGCAATCGTGTCTGTGCGTCTAGCCTCTCGAGTAGAAAAATTTATAAAGCTCTGGTAAGGGCCTGATTATTTTTCCTTTAATTAATTAATAAGATTAATCGGGCCCTAGTAGGGATAGAAAGATAAGGCCCTACAAAATAACAAATGTAACAAATGGTTTGACGGTCCTTGTAAGGCAATATTATGAGGGCCTCATAAGGCAATATCAATAGGGCCTTATAAGGAAATATTTTATTATTGTTTGAGTAAAAATACTCGTTCTTTTTATTTCAAGAAATTTAGATTGTAATTTCTCTATTTCTTTATAACCTCGTTAGTATACGAGAATTTTTTATTTTAAAAACATAGCATACTTTACAAATAAAATAGAGCATTCTTTACACATAAAAATCTTGTTACTGTTTTCATTAAAGTTTGCTGCGTTTCAAAACGAAAGCAATATTAGAAAGATCCTTGGAACAGACTAATGAATATGGTGACTAATAAAACTAATAAAATTTGTTTTTAATTACGGTACATTAAGAAATTATTAAGAAATTAAGAAATTTTGGAGAGCACCGGATAGAGAGCGTACCTACTAAAACAATACTAAACTATGACAATTTTATTACATCATTTCAGATCTTATTAATTTTCTACAACAAAACTTGATTTGGTATATCTAAAGCATCTCCTTAAAAGATCCTTTTAAAACTCACATTAATTTTCCATATCAAAGCTTTATTTCGTAAAATCGTAAAATCTAAGGCATCCCTAAAAAGTCCTTCTAAAGCCTTTCTCAGCTTTCCCCGATGGAAGCCTATTATTTCGTAAAATTTAAGGCAACTCTAATAAATCCTTCTAAAGCTCTCATCAATTTTCCTTATCAAAGTCTTATTTCGTAAAATCCAAGGTATCCCTAAAAGATCCATCCCAGGGCCTGATGCGGTAATAATAATGACATCCATTTTCAGGACATCCCTTCAGCCTTATCGGGGCCTTATGCTTCATGTCAGGATGGCCCTGACAATTTTTTGCTCGGGCTCTTGAACGTAGCGTATCTTTAGCGACTAGATGCGCGGCCGTTATTAATCCACCACTGGAATTTGCCGCGTTGCAACGTGCTTAATATAATACCGTCGCCGAAGGAGGGACAAATTAGCGCGATAACGATGCTTAGGCGTCCATCCATACATACCGCGTGGCTCGGGTGAGTGCTGCGCTTGAACCAATACTCCAGTCTCGGCACTTCCGTCACGGGATCGATGAACGTCCGGTTCCTCTTCCTCCTCTCGTCGGCCAGCATGCTGGTGGGACAGCCGGCTGGCCCGCGCGGCGGCAGGTAATGCGACATGTACATTATGCCGTGGCCGAACATGGGGCTGGGCACCAGCGAGAATCCCGGCGGAATGGGGCCCGTGTGTCTCGCCTCGTCATCCTCCGAGCCGGAGGACACCCTCGCGTCCTCCTGCTTCACCGACGAGGGCGTCGAAGACGGCGGCTGTTGGTCCTCCGGTCTCGTGGTCAAGGACAGCGGGCCGACGGGCGGACTGCTCGGAGGGCAGGGTGACCCCGACGTCGACTGAAAGCAGCGGGGTCGACATCTTTACTTCTCTTTAGGGCCCTTTTTTGCGCCGGACACGCGCTTTTCAGAGTTCAAGTGTCAATTTGTGATATTGGCTCGGGCTATGAAAAAGTGTACGTGTGCTGAAGGATCGACGGTACAACGACGGCGAATGAATGAATGAACGAATGATTGCTCGAGTGCGATGAAGTTGAATTTAATTGAGAAATTCGACGGAATTTTTCGACTGACCGAACATCTCTCCTTCATATACGCAAATTCCAAACGCTCCAATCATTCGTCGACATGCAAGCGATTCTTCCTTTGAGCGAACTTCTGAAGATTCTCTGAGAGATATTTCGAGGGGAAAATCATTCGTTCGAGTTTCCAATATTTAAATCCCATTAAAGGCCATGATTATTTTGCAGACACTGCCAGTCGAAGGACCAATCTCTTTAACCCTTTAACGCCCGACTTTTTAATAAGTGTTTTAAGAATAAAATTTGAATTTTTTTGAACTGAGACTATAAGTGGTGATAACCAAAACAAATGTCAGAATTTTATATCTACGAGAAACTATCTTTCCAAGCAGAAACTACTCCCAGAAGCGAAAAATACGCCTGATCGGTTAAATTTTTTTTTATTAATTTCAATAATATCTTATAGATCACCATTTAGATGGTCAATCGTCCCTTCATTTTTCGCCGCATAAAAGGTGCTGTAGGTCATCAGGTTTCACGAAAATAGGTTAATTTCTTGATTTTCGTGCTCACCATATCGGATCCGCCATTTTGAATTTCTGTATTCTTTTAATTTCACATTTTGCATCTGAGAAAGCTTCCAAATGTATAAAATTATAACAGATACCGATCTATTCATTTATAGCGCACTTCTAGATGTCAGTAACAATGCTAACTATGCCTACTTGGAATCTGACGAAACATGTTATCATTAAAACTGAGCTAAAAACAGACTAAATCGAATCTACATACAATCTATACACTGAGAAAAATATCCGAAATATCCGATTGTTAATTTCGTTATCCGATCAAATGTCCGGTGTATTTAATCGGATATTTCATCGGATAACAGAATTAACAATCGGATATTTCTGATATTTTTCTCTGTGTATAGCATTTTTTAGAACAAGAATTCACCTTTACGGTGCAAGTGCAAAGAAAACGAAAGTATCTCCTTTTTTGAATCCAAGTTGTGTGGATTCTCAAATGCGTTTCTGGTAACTATAGTTACCAGTAGGCGTTAAAGGGTTAAAGCCTAGAAGAACTAGGACCACTTTTACAGCACAGGCGCGGATACGACTGGAGTGTTAAGGACATCAAAATCAAACACGTACACGTATTTGTAATTTTATTTGATCGAGAAAAAGCGTCCCCCTCGAATGGAAGGCTGGCCGTTAGTGGGTTGACGTATTTCGAGGCGAAATCCGCAGGGAAATTTCGTGTTCGATCGCTGCAGCGCGTACCTGCTGCCTGATGTCGTCCTCCTCGTCAGTGCAATCCTCGCTGACGATGCTGGCACCTCTCGGGCTGAGTCCAGGCGGGCTGCAGCCGTTCATGCTGGCTCTCTTCTGCGCCGCCCTCGCGTTCTTAAACCAGTACACGACGTTGTTCGCGTCCAACGGCTTTCTGCCCCGGCGCGAGTCCAGTGAGTTCAATTCCGCGACATAGTGCTGGATCTGCTCGCGCGACGGGTGCTGATTCTCGGCGAACCAGCGCTGCAGACGCGGCAGCTCGAGTTCCGAGTCGAAGCTGGTCCTCATCCGGGTCTTGTGCGAATACTGGAGGAGCGCCGGGTGCGGCGGCCCGATCGGGCCGCTACCGGGCGTGATCGAGCCGCCGCTGTCGGGCTGCGGGCTTTGCGTATGGTGATGGTGGTGATTGGTAGTCGGTGCTATCGGGTTTATACCGAGACCTATCTGTTGCTGCTGCAACCACGTCTCAAAGTTCCTCTTCGTCTCCTCCGAGAGGTCATTGCCGCCCCGGCAGAGGGACAGCAGGGTCATCTGCAAGAGAAAAGCGACAGACGTTCTCTTTCAGAGATCCTGTTCCTGCGAGCTAATGTCCCGGTGCTAGTAGCAGTGGTCCTATTTAGAGTGGCTCGCGCTAAATTTTATGTATTATCGGTCGCGACAAGTTTCGCGACAAGAGCCGAATGAAATGAAAAGCCGTGTAATAAACGCTGAGAGAAACGTTACGTTGCTCGCCGCCACCTTAAAAATTGATAATCAACATCGAGTGTTTGTTATTCAGGTCTGCGGAGTTACTCTTTGAATTCTTGAAGACTGAGCTGTCGTGTCACTGAATGGTAATTCAATTTCTGAGACGAAACATTGTGTTACAAATAAATGTACACTCGACACGCTTCTCTACTCTACACGACTGTGGACGTTGGCGGCGCACAATTCACAGTCCCATTGCCAAGACGCGAATAGTTACGTCCGATTGTATTATTGACACGCTTGTGCATCAATCTAGGCTGCTAGAGCGGCCATTTGTCGAGAGAGATTAGCGAGAGCCGTGGTAGTAGCGAGAAGCGCAATCCGGTTCCTCCGGTGTTATCTTCCACGCTATCTGTAAAGTCGAGGCGAGAGAAGAGCGCGAGGGAGTGCCGAGTGCGGAGTCGCGCGAGAAAAATCGCCGAGAGCGATTGATCGCGCGTGAAAATTGAAATTCCCTGCCCGGGCGGATCGGTTCTTCGAGGCTTCGAGGGGCGAGGAGACGCTGCAACGAGGAGAGACGACGAGAACGTTGTTGGTGTCGTTCTCGTCGCCGTCGCCGTCGTCGCCGTCGACGGCGACGGAGGCATTAAGATGACAGATTATGGAAAAGTTTCGCGCCTCAGGAAATGGTGCGTGCACCGCCTTATCTGCGCGGCCGATGATTTATACGAACAAATATCTCCGGGCTAGGAGGATCAGGCGCTCGACGCCACTTTAATAACGCGTTAATCCGTAACGCGCGTATCCGTGGCACCTCGGTAGCGTCAGACGCTGCAAGGCGACAACTATCCGGGAACGCGCAACGCGCAACACGCGCGCGCGCGCGCGCGCGCGACAGCACCTCGAATCCTCATCCGCCTCAGTTTTACGACACCGCACTTAATCACTCCAGGTAGGCAGGCGAGAGACGCGAGTCTGACAGGCGCTCTCGAGATTTCAGAAATCGGTCGGCAAACAGCGGAATGCCGTCGAAAGCGGGACGGCCGGCTTATCTGAGAAGATGTTGCGCCGCGATTCGAGCCTGATTTACACGTATTTATTATTCAAGAGTGACGCGCACGGCAATCGGCTGATCCGTGGCGTGGTGGTAAATCAATCGCGCGATCACAAGACCCTGATCAAACAATCCGCGGGTAACGAGTCCGCGACGATTGCCGACGCACGCTCGTCGCGAGGATCGTCGTTTCGGTGACTTCCTCTCCCCCTCTCTCCTCTCTCTTCTTTTCTCTCTCTCTCTCTCTCTCTCTCTCTCTCTCTCTCTCTCTCTCTCTCTGTCTCTTTCGTACATTTTTCTCTTATTTCAATTCGTGCGTCTTCTTGGAATCGTTTGTCTTTTTTTTCAACTGTTGATTGCTTCCTCCTGTCTTTTCAGGAGGTGTCTTCAAAGGTGTCAGATGAAACAGGTCCGTTCGCGCATCTTAATTTACCTCAACTCTTTATCTCGACGCTTTATCTCGCTTTATCGCAACTTATTTTCTAAATGCGCCTTTCAAACTGCAGAGAAGTGACACAGAATTAAAATTTCGCTCTCGTCTTGCCTAGTCTATGCTGGAGAAATCTTAGTCGCGGCGCGAATTTCATTGCGTCACAGGATGCACACGGATTTAGGCGAATTTAGGCGACTGCGGGAGCAAATCTTTGCAGCTTTTGTTTCGGAAATACATATCCCTGCGGAGCACGTAAATCGGCCGTCGCATCGGCTGCAGCAGAAATGTGCGAAAATATGTAATAGATAGGTCAACGACGCGCGGCGCGGCGCGGCGGCGCCGTTGCGGCGCTGCAAAATACGATTAAACGTTAATCCTGATGCACCGGGTGACGTTTGTTACGTGACTCTTCTATATTTCAAAGCGAACAGGACTCAGAATAGATTCCGCCGCTCTTTATTGTCTGCTGCCGTGTCAACGCGGCTGATTTACGCTGCCGATCCCAATAAACGCGCGCCTCGTTTCAGCCTCGCGAAAGGTATTTATTGCCGTTCCGAAATTTTTCGTCACACACCGTGACGCAAATATGAGCTATCCGTACTTGAGAAATCACGCGTCCTCCGGATGCCTCTCTCTCTCTCTCTCTCTCTCTCTCTTTGTACGAACATCCTCCGTGCGAACGTGTGGCATTCCTTTACCAGACGCGTTAAAATATTCTCCGCAGCTTTGCGCGATAAATTCTCGCTCTGGGAAAAAAGCGCGAGTTCCCGTGCTGTTTCCTCCGCCTTTCCATTTTAAGCAGAGAGCTCGCGTGTAAAATAAAAATGGAATTCCCAGCTGGTCCCCGCACGGGGGATAAACAATTTTGAACGAGAGAAAAGAAATAAAAACCCGGCAATATTCTCTGATCGGAATCTTTGGAATGTTGTGTCTGGGAAAATCTCGGGGAGTTTCTGCTTCTGCGCCGGTTAGCCGGATAAGAAGCAGAAACTCTCTCGTTGAACCTCGTTGAGAGCAACGAATCGCAAAGCGTAGCGAAGAATTCGCGATCATCGGGAATCGTCGCTCTCGTGCCAGAGAGCCTCGTGCGAGCGAGAGGAGCAGGAGAGAGAGAGAGAGAGAGAGAGAGAGAGAGAAGCCCGAGAGAGCGCGGCACGTCTTCGTGCATCATTGTCAGATTAGTCCAAATCTACGCGAGAGACGCCGGTTCTCCATCACAGCGGTTCGCCATTAGCCGACGGGCTACGAAACTCAAGCAGGAAACGTTTGCCGGGGAAAATTGGTAATCATAGACCACCGTGAGCGGCATTAAAGTTCGGGGATGGGCGGGTAGCGGGATCTTCAAAGAGAGTGCACTTAGATAATGCCGGGTCGGAGGAGGCAGGGCACCTCTCCTTCCCCCTCTTGCCCTCTCCCTCTAGCCCCGGTACCGATATCGAGGGGGCTTTTGATGAAGGCTGCGAATTTGGTTGAGTAAAGGGTAATCCTATCATACGCTATGAGATCTTCCGCTGTCGGAAGGGCACGTCTACGCGCGAGCGGGCCGACCCGAAAAATCGGCGGAGCTATTTCAATCTCTTCGGGGGACGAAATCGAGAGAGGATCGCGGGGTCGCTGATAAGTCTCCCTCTCTCTCTCTCTCTCTCTCTCTCTCTCTCTCTCTCTCTCTCTCTCTCTCCCTGTTCCGGAAAGTCATCGCAATAGAAAATTTCGCGTTAGCCCAGACAGTCGGGGGATTACGTTTTGTGATTCCGACAGAGCTCGGGAGAGCAAGCTACTAATTCGCGCGGCGTTAGTGACTTTCCGTCGACGTCAGCTGTAAGTATTCCAAGTGTCGGCGGAATTTGGACATTGCCACGAAAGTTCGCCTTTCTACGGTCACGTGGCGGTCGATATTCATCGCGGCGATTCATCGCGGTCCCGGGACGACCGATGATGTTTATCGTTGCCTCGCGACAGGATTCAATCGTCGGGACGAACTGAAATATCGAGAACGAAAATCTAAGATTTTGCTAATCTGGGAATGACTCTCTCTCTCTCTCTCTCTCTCCTCGGTATTGATCATTATCGCGGTAATTATATATACATGAGCTGAACAAGCGAAGATGTGTTGCGAATGTTGCGCATAAAATTTTGCTCGGGCAAATTGGCAGGAAGTGCACAGCCGGGGGAGAGGGAAATTATCGGTTGAGAAACATTCGGGAGGGAAAACGGCCAGCGCGTTGGCTTCTCGATTGACGACTCGAAACCAAGAAAGCATTTATTCAAGGCGAGGATCAACGAGCCGCGAGCAAGAACCTACCGAAGATTACCAGCGCCGTTCTTGCGAGAGGTACAAGGGTACCGAGGCCGGAGGACTTCTTAATGAGATTAAGTGCCCCGACGACAAACACTCTCTGGCTAGATTTACATTTTATACATTTTTAAGCGGTCGTCTTACCACGAATATTCCCTACTCCGATCTCGCCTTGAATGGTCCTTAAATTCTCTCGGTGCGCCGTTACTTAGTCCTCTAACCTAAATAAACCGCGCCTTTACTGGCAATACTTCCACGCGAGAGAGAGAGAGAGAGAGAGAGAGAGAGAGAGAGAGAGAGAGAGAGAGAGAAACACTTTTCGCTTGAGAGCAGCCTCGAAATCCATCCGGTGAAATGTACGCTGACGTTCCAGACGATTTGAGCACCCTTTTGTTTAGATCTTCTCTCTTTCGAATTTCCTTCGTCGGAGCCGAAAGTTTCGTTCGAGCAAAACGCGTTCGGCTCGCGTTCATCGTCGCGATAATTCAACCAATCTTTTTTCTCCGTACAATTCAACTCGCAGCCGATGATCCGGTGAGAGAACTTGCTCCCGACAAATCCCCGACAAATTAAGTTCTCTCACTCGACTGATCCGCTATCGTTCGGAATTGCATCGCAAAACCGCTGCTCAAACCGTTTTGAAAGTACGTTTTGGTGCATGTTTTAGAGATCACTCGTCTATCCTGTTTCCTCGGACAGGCATTTATTGTGCCGAGAAACGCGGAACTCGAAAGTTAGAGATTAAGAAGGCCGCATACCTCGTCCAAGGGGCATCCTGCGGAGACGAGCAGCGTGTGGCTGTGCAACAGCAGCAGCCTCAGCAATTTATTTCTAACTTCAGCGGCTGGACTCGGGGGTGGTGGCCTGGATCTGTACACCTGAATTTTCAGGGTCGCCACCGACGTCAGCTCGGCCAGGATGTCTCCCACCGTCAGTAGCGGCCCATCGGCGACCTTTTCCATCGGCAAGGGTTTCCAGTTCCGTATGACGATGCTCCCCCTGGCGCTCGGTATCAGGTCGCTGGAATAGCCTAAACGAACCAGCGCTTCGCCCACCAGGTCCTGTCGGCAGAGAGAATCGACTCCTTCAGCAGTTTTGCCAGGAAGGGTTGCATCGAGATGAAGCACGGCAGCTTCGGTGAAAAACAACGTCCAACACGTTGGAGTACTCGAGGTACTCGAGTTCTCTCGCCAAGTCGTGAAATTTGCTCTATTCGCACTAATGTCCAGACCTTTCGGTCCTATCGAGGACTCTTCGCCAGTGTTTTCGCGATATATCTGACGAGGAAGAAAGTATAAGACTTACCTGGAAGGGCATAGCCACCGGAATGATAACGTAAGAGTCCGTCTCCACCTGAGGACTTCGCCATTTTTCGCGACTGTTGCTCACTTGGCTTTCCACAATATTGTGAATCGTCTCCACCACACAATGCACCGGCAGATTTTTCGCTGCAACAGACAAAGGAGTTTGCGTGAAGTAACGCGCCCGGCAATCCTCTTATCGCGGAATTAACAATGGAACATGACGAATTTACGGCGGGTAAATTAGCTAACGATCGCATCCTTTTATTTGCGAATGCACCTCAATTACCCCTTGTTCCTTTTCTTTCCGAGAATTCTACAGTCGCTTTCTGGAACACTGAAAAGCTGGTGCTTTCAAGATGCTGCTGCACCCCTCGCTTTGACCTTGACTGCATATCGTCGTGTATTCGTCGATTTTTCGTTCTTTTTGCTTCGGCATAGTTGCTCAATCTCGAGGCTCGAAGAGTGCTGGAATATTTTACGACCTCTATGGAGTGCGAGCCGTGTTAGCGGCTTTAATTAATTCGGCTCGTAAACCGAGCATACGGAAGACGTCTTCATGCGAGGGGCTCAGTTCATGAGAACCTTAAATCGTCTGGTAGCTTCGACTGAAGCACTATTTCCGTACATCCGGCTGACAATAGGTATAGTCTTTGGCGTTTCGGGATCCAAATTCGAGGGGGCTAGGATGATTCGCGAAGCGCGCATTGAAGATCGCCGAGAGTAGAGAGAAGAAGAGAGAGAGAGAGAGAGGGGAAAGGGTGGGCGGAGAGGGAGAGAGAGAGAGAGAAGTTTAACTCCAGCGCTAAGCATATGCAGATCCACTCGTCTATCCCGAGACAATGGGACCTGTGCGATGGCACAATAGCTGCGATCCTTGTGTAACCCTGACTTAAGTCCGGGAGTCTATCCCACTCCAGGTCATAATCCCAGACTTCTGCGAAACCGAGGAAATGGAGTGCGAGAAGGAAGAGAGGGATGAGAGAGAGAGAGAGAGAGAGAGGGGAGGCGGGTGAGATAGAGATAGAGAAGGAGAGGAAGCTGAAAGAAAGAGCGAGGGGAAGAAAAAGGGAAAATTCCGCCCGTTCAATTTCATTGATTATACAGCGTCATACTTATCCATTTAATAAGATCGTTTAATAACAATCCTTTCATGATTATTGTTCCGTTTCTTTCCGGCGAGATGCCTTGTCTTTCATAACGCTCGGGAGCAGCTATGCCGAAGAGGAGTTGTAATAAATAAATCGCTGAAGAATAAAGTGTTGCGGATACGGAAGAATGTTAACGGAGATTTAATTTGTCTGTAATTATACATACGGCACATGCGCAGTATAAAGAACTAAAAAATATTCCGACGGGGAAGTACAGTAAAGTCCCAGTAATCGGACGTTTAAACGTAGGTCGTCACAAAAAATACAATAATTTAATATCAAGAATAGTTCTGATAGGAATATCTGCATTTATTCGTAAACTTAAAATTCCCTTAAGTAGAGAAAAGTGATTTAAACCAATGTATATATCTATTATTAATTAAATATTTACGCAAGTAATGAAGCGCATTGATGTACCAGTGACCGGGCAATTGAAATTAACATTCGGATATAATTTGTCCCAATATCTGACCGCAATTAGACAATTAGTATACGCTAACGGGAAATAATATAAATATAAAGATGTTACCTCTTAATAAATTTATTAACGATTGACCATTACTTTGCCAAACCACCAGGTGCATACTTATTTAATTAATTTTTACTTTAATATCAAATTGAGTATATTTTTTTTGCAACTAATCGTCAAATATTGGAGTTTTTTTTTAATACAATAATTATTACCTTTATTCATTATTGTTAAAACAAATAGTAAATATTTTTTTTCAAAGTGGCCGGATACTGGGACACGTTCGGCCATTGGGACGTTTGTCTTAGCAAGATTCGTGGTTAAAAGACAAAAGAATGAGACGACGAATTTCTGATTGAATATCTCGTGTAAATTCAGTCCCGAGCTTGAGCGCAATATCGACACTGCAGCTCGCCAGGCATAATAATAAGCTAATCAAAGTGCAATATTAGATTGTAGCGGGATTGATAGATAGGTCTCTTGATGCACGGCGCTAAGACCCCGTCAAAGATGACCAACAAAGGATTTACTGCCGGCGGCATGATATTAGGTATTAATGGCCGAAACTTCCATCTAATACGCCGGACATCATAGAACCCACCCCCGCGTTGCATAAGACAGGTCGTATCTACCGGGCCCGAAGGCTGACCAGCGTCCACCTTAATCTAGGGACGTATAGTTTTCATTAAGGCGTCCCGTCCTTGCGTCGTCTTTGTACCGGGATCAGCTGGTTTAAGGTGGGCTTTTACGCCGCAGGATTTAATCGCGGGGACATCGTATTACGCGCTCTGTTTATTACCGACGCGTCTCCACGCGAATCTGCGCCGCTACACTCGTATCTCGTCGCCGGATCGCGGCAGTGTCCGTCCGCGATATTCGTTGTTGATTATTGGGATCGTCTTCGTAGGTCAAAGTGCTGAATAGCGCCGAATAAGTCGACCTTCTACTGCTATTCGGAGAATAACGAAAGAAAGAACTAACGCCCGGTTTCTTCACACCTCTCCCAATATAGTTATCTTCCAGATAAAGATATCCGTCTGATAATTAGAAATTCGTTTTCTTCGCTGAAACCTTTGGTTACGTCTAACAGGATAGCTATTCTTCATACTACTAATTTTCGACACAAAATATACTAGAAATTTACTACACAATATAATTATCCGACTCAATGGAGAAGGAAGAAAAAGAGGAGCAAATTTTACGAAAAACTGAAATTGATTTGTTCATCGACATTACATTAAGATATAAACATATCGTCGAAAATAAAAGAACCGATGGAACAACGTAGAGAGATGAAAATGAAGCTTGGGAAAAAATTTGCGATGAATTTGATGCTGTTTCGGGAAATTTTCCTCGTCTTCTTTTTACAAACTCTTCACCAACATCATCATCAGATTCATAAATATTAATATCCACACGCAACAAATCCATTATTATGTTTGTGTTTTCATGAAAACAGCAACGATTACGTATTCTTATGATTTTTAGGCTATGAAATCAATATCTGTCAGATATCCGCTACTTCAGGTAGAGAATAAATTTATCTGCCGGATACAAATTTTACAAAGGTGAAGAAAACAGATTCTGAGAGAAATCTCATGGATGGAAGTTATCGACAATTTATCTAGAAGTGAAGAAATTGGGCATAAGGCTATAAATCGCAGAGGAAATAGCGATGGTAAGTTAAATCAGCGATGATAAATTCTTCGGAAGATACAACTTCAAGGTGAGCTTTAATCGAACACATCGTTCGTCGCCGCCGACTTTCGAGCTGCTGATAAACACTTGTCGGGCCAAAAGTAAGTTTGTCGGGAATGTAAAAGAAGAAATGGAAGAGAGAGAAGGAGGGAGAGGGAGAGAGAGAGAGAGAGAGAGAGAGAGAGAGAGAGAGAGAGAAAGAGAGAGAGGTGGCAGCCACTCATCCGCGAAATCTTTAATCTCTGCAACCGCAAAGACATTTCTCATTTCTGGTGCAGGCCCTATCAGGCTTCCGGTTATCTCCCCGCACGACGGAAGCGTCATGCCGCTTCGTCTTTGACAGCTCTCGTCGGAAGATAAGATTCATCCGTGGGGCAACCCTTGAAGAAGCGAAACCAGTTTCTCTCGATGGCTCTTTTTCATTTGCGACGGCTTCATCTCGCGTTTCGCGTTAGCCATTTCTCGTATTGTTAGGCTTTGCCGCGGCAACATCCATTTAATCTTAAATTGACTCACGTCACTCTCCCGTGTTAACATTGCCCGTGATAACATTGCCGGCTAAAGTCCGACGATCGGAGCGTACTTTAATGAGAAAATCGTAAATTTTATTGCAAATTTGAAAATATATAACATTGCGCTTTTGATATTTATCCGGCACAGAACAAGCTGTTTTTTAGCTCGCTTCTGTGCCCGTAAACACTAAAATTTAGCGTCGTTTCACACGTCAGAATCAACCCAATGAGCATGCCAAAAAAGTGTATTCAAGGTGTATTACCCGAGAGAAGTGTGCCGATTGCAGGTTTAATTGTTAAAAATTACCATTTCCTTCTTCCACAAGGGAGTCTTTTTCTCAGCCGAATGCATCAGGCTCGCAAGCGCGGAGTTTTCGACATCGCAAATTAACGGAGCGCCCAGTTCCGCGAGCACTGAGGCGCGTGCTCGTTCAGATACGAGATAAAAAGTTGGAACATATTTTTCGACACCCCGCTATCGCCCGTTCCGCACCGCCGCGATAATAGCTGCGCTCGCCGCGCGAAGTACGATTCGAAGGGGATGCGGCCAGAGAAATCTTCGCCGCGAATATTTCTCTCCGCGTCCTCGACCCTCGTTTCTCCCCGCGCGCGAGATGATTACCGACGCGCCCCGAGATTACCGAGGATCTTTCTAAATCACCAGCGGGAGAGACCCGCGCCATTTAGATCCATCGACAGTGACGTTTCCGCTGTTACGTCGGATGCGCTCGAGCGCGATTCAACACGGCGCGGCGGGGAGAGAAGTGAAATTCATTTCTCTCGGTGTGAGCTAAGATGGACTCGAAGATAATTCCGGCATCGAAAAGAGCCGTACTTGTTCGCTGAAAGTATCGCCGACCGTCGTTAACGCCGTATTACCGAGAAATCAGCCAATTCGAGGAACAGAAAACTTTCGATAATTCGTGCTAACTTTTAATTAACCCTTTGCTGCATAGTGCTACCTATCATCCAAGCTTGGATGATAGGTAGCACTATGCTCCAAGTCGAAAACGCTCCGCGCTTGCGAGCCTGATGCATTCGGCTGAGAAAAAGACTCCTTGGAAGAAGAAATGTAATTAACAATTAAACCTGCATCGCACATTTCTCTCGGGTAATACACCTTGAATACACTTTTTTGGCATGCTCATTGGGTTCTCCAATAATTTAAATGTTTCACATATTTCTTTAGCATATTTGGTATTGTTGGACTAGTAAAATGTTCCTCTAACTAACATAACAGCTTTTAGAGTCATTTCAAATAAGTAATTTGTAGAGATGTGCGAACTATTCGAATTCGAATCGAATCTAATGTAATTC